AAGTTTGGCCTAGAAATTGTGATATATTTTTTTTAACAATTCTAGATGTTATTAGTGACAGGTCGGAGTATTTCTGCAAGTTATAATTTGAAGAAATATCAACTGTGTTTATTATTTGAATTGACTCGCATGGTTACGATATTTTTTTTTTCTAGGCATGTTTAAATAGACTTAAATGAAGAATTATTTTTACTAAAGAAAGTTATTGTGAAATATGAAGTTTACACACGAGAATTCAGTTTTTAAAAGAAGTTAACTGTATCGTGAGAAAATTAAAATAATAATGATAATGATTTTGTAAAACACGATTATGCAAGTGGGAATTAGTTAACCGATTGTTCTGCGAGTTATCTCGAGACAAACACGAGTAATGAGTTGCGAATTCTTTTATGTATTGTAAATAGTAGTCGTGTTATTGTGTTACCTTCATGGTGAAGCTGATCGGTAACTGCTTGTGGATGGGTCGGTGGCGGCGTGTTATATACGTAGTCCGCATCTCCCACTCGCTGGCCAAGCTCCGAGGGCCATGAAGAAGCGAACGGAAGCTGTTCCTCGACCGCAACTGACGCAAGCCATTGTCCCTGCACTGCGATTAAAAAAATCACACTCGTAATTACGAAAATAGGATCAGGGGAATCTTTGCGATTATAGGAACTTCGCGTCAAGGAATTAATACCGTCATATGGAGACAAAATTCACTTAACTCGTATATGTTTCTTATGATCGTTAAGGTTCTTCTATAAAGTTACTGACGCTGAGATTCCTGTACTGTCTTTTACCCTTTCCTTCCGTTCCCTCGTTTTCTTTGCGAAAGTAATATAACGCGTTAATGAAGTATGTATCTATCTGTTACAGATTGATGTTTAAAGGCAATAGTTATGGTTGCCAATGGCCAAATTCTACTTTTTCTGTTATCCTTTACTTATTCTATTACCCAATTGACTAAAACGACTAACTGCCATACTCGAAGACATTACAAAGAGTTCCTCGATGTACTTTTAGTATTGCACATACACACTTACATAAAGTACTGTTTAAGTAAACATTAAAGTGCTGAGTGTGGTCTAAGCTGTGGATATCCATTATTGTAAGATGGTACAAAGAATTTCTATAGAATATTTAATACTTGACCTTGAGACGCGATGGTCTTGTAAACCCATTAATGAAACAAAACACACCTCTGCTCAAACAAAAACGTTGTAATGTTTGCATATAACTATTTGGAGAAGATTCTTAGAATGTCCGGTGTAACAAGGGTCTTAACTTAGTACCAACTGCTTTGTATTTACCTCCAACTAGTATATGACGTATATCATAGGATGGTCCTATGGTGTAATTACCAAGCTTATTAAATACTTCGACATTTGCACATATTCTCTGAAAACTAGGGTAACCTAAATACTTCGACATTTGCACAAATTCTCTGAAAACTAGGGTAACCTAAATTGAAATTTTAACTCCTGCTTTAGGTTTTCGCTAGCGTCGTATTATAAAATAAAAAATGAGCATCTGTGCAATTAGTACAAATGTTTGTGCACAAAAGTGATGTTTCTTCATTGCATTAATCATATTGCATGATTGCTTTGACCGTGGGTTTTCACTCTATATGTGTAAAATTGTAGATAATCGCTCATATTTTCGTTTAAAGCACAAATATGTTTCGTCGAAGAAGTTTGTTAATTTAAATAGAACAAAACATATTGTACAGCCAAATGATGGAAAAAATATAATTTCTAACAGTTTCACTGTCAAGTCGATAAATGATACATCTTGTATTGCTTTTAAAACAATAATAAACAATATTTGCACATAAATGTCTTTGAACCGTGATCTTCGAAATTCTATAAACAAACCATTCCACTATCGTGTAACTTTGAATAAATAATAAGTTAGTAGCGCTTGGCCTCTGTTATTTGTGATACATTACCTGTGTATCATATTTCACACTCATTTTTAGTTTTAATTCAAATTATGAAATAACGGTTTAGTGAACGATACAAAATCTTCGAATACGTTAAACAAATTGTTTTCGTTTCGCAATATGCTAAAATTGTATAAACGATATATTCATGCATACATTTGGAAATAATAATTTATGAGTAAAATGTTTGACTTAACGTTCACCGTTGTTATTAATATTCTTAGTTAATTTAGCATCAGAATATAGTTAAATACAAATTAAATTAACATACAAAATATTTTGAACTATGTTCTGATGATGCTAAATTCTAACACTGTGTAGGGTTAAATGCTTAAATAAAAACTCTCGCCTTCGTTTATACTCCGAGTAACATTGTAGATACATTTGTTGCCATAAAAATCTTGGAGTCTCAATAGTCTAATTATAAAAAAAAATGCACACAGATCAAGCGTTCGTAAGTTCGTTTCCGCTATTTAAGCTTTTTCATCGAGAAATCTTTAATCATTTTATATTTTTTTTACTACAAAATCGAAAAAGTCAAAGACCTAAATGTTGTAACATGAGATAAGACTATATCCGAATATCAGGTAAGTACCTAACTATCCTTCATACTTCATATGGACAAGTCAATCTTCTATTGCCGATGGTGAAATGCCTTGCTTCCCATAATGCACAATGTTATGGAATTTCATATTGTAATGTTTGGTAATGCTCGCGTAGTGTCGAGTAACTGCGGTCGCCTGCATTGTCCTAGAGGTAATGTTGCACATCAATGGTCAGTACAAATAAAGCTTTTTTATTACACAATATGTAAATATATTATAGTTTTCTTATTTTCCTATTACTACATATTGTTTTGGTGCACAATGGTAAATCATTATTACATCGGCGGTATTGTGTAAATTTTAAATAATCGAATTAATTCCATTGAGCTACTTATTTCATTTGAATTTCTCATTTTGCATTTGTGGATATTTAAGACATACGATTATGTTTGAAACATTAAAGTTTTTGTAACATTTATACACAATTTATTCATTTGCATTTGTAGCTTTACCCTTGAAACAGTTCTAGCTTTTGAGTACTTATGTATTTTTTTGAGAAGCAGGAAAGTGACTTCATAAATTGATAATTACTTTACAGACAGCTCCAGTATATACATAATGACGTCAGCAGCTCAGATATACCGCAGGAGTCGTGATGTTTACACCCGGAGGTAGTTGGCCTTAAGTATAACAGTAAAAAAATTAATGATTAGTGTTTATAAAAAAATCTTGAAAAAATTAAAGCTTTATTCAAAAATGGCACGTCGTCTTGGACCTGAATAACCTTTAAGAATATTAGCAGTATTTATAACAATAAAATTATTAACTGAATATTGTAAATTATATTTGTCTTCTCTAAAGATACTTTGAGTGCCTGTGTTGCCCTATATAGAGTTAACCCTACCTTTCACTTAATAAGGTAAAATTACGTTGCAGAATAGGCAATTGCTAAGATTGATCTCAGACGTGTGACTTGTAATTATATTCGAAGAAATGCTGATAGCCTTCTTAGCTTCTCTTCCATTCTTGACAGATTGCGAAAATGAGGCGGGACTTCTGTTTTCAACGATCTGTAACTTGTCTTGTGTTGTCTTGGTTTTACTGTCGATAGTACTAAGATAGACTCAATTACGTACCAGTGTTTCTTTCTGAAACTGAAATACTATCCGTTATCGTTTTATGAGTAAAATCTCATAAACGCGACCGGCCCAAAGAGATCTATCACAAAGGATGTTGATCCTAAGACACGAAGGCATTACATTAACATAGTAAAGTTCGGTTGCGGTGGGCAGCTACCCTCTACTACAGAATCATAAAGTGTATTTTTTGGTCTATAAAGACTAGTTATACTATTGTTACTTATTCAAACCAAAAGAATATACTCAACAAAAAAGTTATAAAAAACAATTATCGATTTAGTACATAACTTAGATCCTTTAATTAATTATTTAATGCTAAAGCTATAATGCTATAATGCGAAGATAAATTACATCTGTCAGCGAAAATAAATCTAAATGAATTTAAAGTAGGTATTGCGTATGTCAGTCAAATAAAGGCTTAATGCTTTTCACGTGTAATTAAGTGTTTCATCTTCGTGTGAATTGTGAATGTTGTGCTCTACTGCGAAAGATTGCAATTCGCCGAGTGTTGTGGAGTAATTGCGAGCGGCATAAGAAGCTTTAATTCTCAGTGACGGTGATTTACCGTCGACACGCCAATATAGTATGACTTGAGTTGTTGACGTAGCGTTAAATATATCGATACGTCTGAGTGCCTGTCCCACCAAAGTGTAAATTGTCTGATAACAATCTAACGTGTAAAATATTTGATGGAAATATCGGATTTTGTCCCCTTATCTGACAGTGACGTCATTTTTAAGTTATCAGAGCCTCTATCAGCCTGTGGTGGGATAAGCCCTTAGTGTTATTATTCTTAATTTAAACGAAGTCACCTATCTATTTCTAAAGCCCCTCAATGATTTAAATTAATATGTAATAAATTTACGTGACTGGAAAACCACGATGTCGTTGATTACTATATTGGTTGTAAAGTTTAATATATCAGAAAAAAGAACCCACTTTGTTTACATGGTAATTCCACAGCATGAATCCGGTTCTTAAGTAAACATGCTTGTGATGGTTTCTTTTAAATCATTTCTGAGTTGTAATGATAATGCAAGATATGATAATTAGATAATACCTTTCTGATCCACGTTTCGTTGTAATTTCTTTAACAAAAAGGCGGTTTGCACCTGAAATCTTCTTTCAAATATGTTTCATTGTGACCGCTTGTAGCTGTAACGTCTTCATTGGTAGAGTTCGAGATGTAATTCAGTGCATATTCCCTGGACAAGTCAGTCGTTTTTCTTTATAACAAAACATAGAACTGTATAAATTTAAAAATATGCTACAATAATAGAA